AGCGAGAGCTCGTCGAAGTCGCTCTGCCCACCCGCATACGGGGTGGACCCCACAAACTCCGGCGCAATGTCGACGTTGTCGAGGGTTCCCGTTTCACGCTTGCCTGAATCCTGGAACAGCCCGCACACGCGCGAGCCCTGCACGCGGTTCGCGGTCTTCAAGCGCTCGTAGAACCGCGCCTGAACGCCGTTGACCCGCAATGCCCAGTGCCGCCGCGTCTCTGGGTCTGCCCATGGGAAGTTCGCTGCCACCAACCTGCCCTGGCGCAGCACGTTGGTGTCATATTGCAGCGGCGCCCTCACCACGCTGTCCACGTCGTCCTCGACCGTCAGGCGCGCCAGCGCGAGGCTGAAGCTGCGGCGGGGCAAGAGTCCGTGCTGGTTGGCGAGCAGGACGGTGGTCTGGGTCTTCTTGCTCAGGATTGGCTCGGCGTAGCCCTTGTTGCACGCGCGGGCCTCGTTGCGGAGGAGCAGGGTGCACGTGCTCTGCGCCCTCTCATTCCAGTATATCACCACCGTCTTCGCACGATTGGCGAGAGTAATCTCTGCACACATGACGTCGCCCTGCGGCCCGCGCACACCGAACCTGGCGTAGGGCAGCTTGAAAAAGTTCACCTCCTCGTTGGGCAGGTGGACGATCATGTCCCCCTTGTCAAGCACCCCGCAAGGTGAGTTGGCCCCGAAGCCGCTCGCGTCATCAGACCTGAACTTGCCCAGCTGAGAGCTGAGGATCGGCGAAGGCATGCAATTCGACCTTTGCTGCTTCGCTTTGACGCACGCCAAGCCCAGCTTCGTATAGGTGTGGGCCACGGCCGTGGCCGACGCGCGGACGGCGGTCGCCAGCCTCTGCTCGATCTCGGGTGGGCCGAAAGCAGTCCTGGCAGGATCGTGGCACGGGTTGGCTGCGTCGCGGACCGCGTCACAGTCCGACGGCACGACCCAAGCCGCGGTGGCGTTGCACTCCCGCATGGCCACCTTGAACGCGCACGCGTCTGCATCGCTGGCGGCGAGCACCTGGTGGAACAGCTCCACTGGGTCCGCGATGCGCCACGCTGAAATGAGCGCACGTGATGCCTGCGCACTTGCGTTGATCGCTGCTTCCGCCCTGCCCAGCGCGTCCACTACACCTCCGAAGTTGCATGTCGGGATGCTGGTGTTCTGCAAGCGCATCAGAGAGGGTCCACCAGGTAGCTGCCGCACATCCCAGCTGGGATTGCCTCCGACGCGCCTCCTGACGCGATGTTGGCCATGGGCGGGATCACTATCGGCGCGTAGTCACCCCGTGCGGCGGGTCGACGGCGTGGCCTGCTGCTGCGGCACCTGGGAACACCGCCGCCTCGCGCGCTGCCGGCGTGAGCGCCGCGAGCGCTGCCTCGTAGGCGTTGGCCTGTGCGGCGTGGGCCGCGCGGTCCGCGGCCTCCTGGATCTCGGCAGCCCGGCGCTCCGCGACGCGATCGTCTTATGCGTCTCCGAACCACCAGTGCCCAAAGTCCCAGGCGCTACAACCACAATAACAAAAACAACAACAACAACAACAACAACAACAACTACTACTACTACTACTACTACTACTAATACTACTACTACTACTACTACTACTACTACTACTACTACTACTACTACTATTATACTACTACTACAACTACGACTACTACGACTACTACTACTACTACTACTACTACTTACTACTTACTACTACTACTACTACTACTACTACTACTACTACTACTACTACTACTACTACTACTACTACTACTACTACTACTACTACTACTACTACTACTACTACTACTACTACTACTACTACTACTACTACTACTACTCCTACTACTACTACTACTACTACTACTCCTACTTCTACTACTACTACTACTACTACTACTACTACTACTACTACTACTACTACTACTACCAGAACTGCTACTACTACTAGTACTACTGC